TAAACATGGTTTTGCAAACAGCAACTATCATATCTGATCACATAACCTCTGGACTGAAGCAGTACATCAGCAAATATTTCTGATTATTTAAAATATTAAATAACTGGAATTTACTAGGCAGGTCTTCCTCAAGAACAATCACAATCTTTTTCAAGAATTAATACCCATATACAAAAGCATTTAGATGATCTGTTACAAATCTCTGAATAAAAAAAAAAAAAAAGAAATCACCTCTTTCTGTAATAAAGCCCAGTTTAAATACAATCTGGGACATACTAGTAGTGGAGGAGCTGCCTTTCTACAACACTCAGCTTGCTGGGGAAACTGCAGCAGCCAAGGTCATATATGGTAGGAATCACCTCGCCTAACTTTAACTACCTAGACATTAGACGCCTAATTTAAGCTAATCATCTGGGTTCCCTCTACAGGTAATGGAGATAAGCATTCCCAGAGGGAGATTCATCTTGCTTGTCTTAGGCATCTCTTTTTTAGATGCTTATGGATGGATAAAGTCAAGAAAGATCAGCCTCACTGACAGCCTGATAATCTGTCTTTAGCAATGCACAATTTTCAAATTCAATGAAATTAAGCCAGAACTTTATTTCATCATTTAGCCTTTAATTCTCCCTCCGACTCAACTTTTTCTTTAGTTCCTCCCACGAACACCAACTTTCTCTGGCACTTTATTTTTCTTACACTGGACTATGTTTTCCTGGAACCTGGGGAACTGCAACCAATGTCAATATGTTGCTGCTCTACCGGTTACAAATCCATTTACATGCATGTACTCTAAATTGCAGTAATGTTCTGAACAGATAGATATGATAAGAGTATTGATAGCAATTGTGCTTTCTGGGTCTTCTCTACCACTTTCAAGTGTGTAAAAATCTGTGGCAACATTAAGGCAGTCAAGGTATATAGATGAATGCTAAAAAATATTTACTATTCCAAGAAGATGGCTTAAATCAAACAAGGAAAAATAAGAAAGAAATACCATTAGGGCCCTCATTTTTACATGTGTGAGCCCAGGTCACCACACGTGCTTCGAGGCCTCTGTGCTTCAGAAGGTTGAACAGGTCCTAAAGATGAAGCCTGGCCTCAACTCTCTTGCATGTAGGGTTTGTGGGTTCTCAGCAACACCAGCATTGCTGCATCGCACCTTTAATCACCAAGCCCTTAGAAACAATAGCCAAGATCTGTAAGGAAGCAGGTGTCTGAACTTAGACTCCTAAATACATAGCTGGGTGCCTAGAGCAGCAGCAAAACTGACAAGCACTCTGTGCAGTTGCCCACAGATGCTGACCCCAGTAGTGAGGCACTTAGCATTTGTCATAACACAAAGTGGATGTTTATTAATTAAGAGTGTTCCAACGGCTACATGAAGTGCCTTGGCCGAGTGCTTGCGTGCACTAATTTCAATGTTGGGCATGCAGTCTAGCCTGCGTCTTACTTCTACAGCATTTCTAGAAAATTAATTTTAATAGTTAAAAAACCATCTTGAGCTGCATACATGAAAATAACTCCATTTCTACTGAATGACAATCTAATACGAAATAAGAATATTCACCTTTTTTTCTTACTCTGCCCAAATCCAGGCAATAAATTAGGCTTCTCAGCATGACTGTAAAGTGCTGTGAATTGTATAAACAATCATATATGGACACTGAAAAATAAACCTTATGCACATTGCATTATAGTTCCAAAAATATATTTACAGTCTATTACAAAGATTACAAATGGAAGTGTCTATGTAATGGGATTATGCTAGTTAAAAGCTTTTTACAGATTTTCTTCAACAAAGGCAGGGGGGACAAAAATTAGTATAACCAAACTGATTTTCCTAATGAAACAAATAAATAAAATGACAAATACAACACTGTACAGTGATCTAAAAAGGGGGAGAAAAAAGGAGGGGGAAAATGATGCATTTAAGTTTTTGATAACTATCTTTGGTCCTAAATGTGGGAAAACACATTATGTAGCACTGAATATACGTGTTTGTTTGTGATGCTCTGCAAGTAAAATAGAAAAATATAGTGCATTTTCAATGTATTCAGAGCTCACTACACATAAATGTGTGTACAAAACAAGACAGTATAAATAAAATTTACAAGTTTTACAAAGGAACATTTACAGGGTTTTTCTTTTGTTTTTATTTTTTTTGTGTGGATGCCCACATTATCAAACAAGACCAATTTATGACTGATCCCTGGGATCTTTCTCTATCAAAATCAATAGAAGCAGCCCAATTCTCTTTGGAAGTACAGCATTTCATTGCTGGGGTAGTTCACAATTTTCAGATTTTTTTTAAAGCATTTTCTCTGGTTCATATACATTCCTGCAATATCTGCAAAGACACCGTTCATTATTGCTTATGGTAGTTAAATATTTTAATCAAACAAAATTCATATATAAGTAAATGGTGTAAAAAGATATTCTGTTGAGCAACTACTCTTGCATCTGTGTTCCTGATGAATGACTGTTGTGTCTGTGTGAGCACACACATGCATGTTTGCTCAGAGCAGCAAAAGCTTGTAAAAAACTTGAAAATTTTGAACTGCCCCTTGCCTCATGCTCTACTGTTCTCATATAAAATCTATGTCCTTATTCTGACAGCTGGACTGCATTCGGCTTAAACTCATATAAAATATACGCCAGCTATTTCTCTCAGATTTGCTAAAGCAGAGTATTGAAAAAAAAATGTGATGTGCTCAGATTAAATGGTAAATAGGTAACACTGGAGAACTGTACCCATGTTCTGAGACACTCCTACAATCACTTGTCCATTCAATGCAGTGTCTCAGCAGGTTTACAGTTGCAGATCTACATCTCAGAATATATCTCACTTTCACTCTAGTCCATTAAAATCATCTTGCAAACAATTTGCTAAAAGTGCCTAGAACTACTTAGGGGTCATTATTGCTTTTCTTTTTTCTTTTCTTTTTTTTTTTTCTCTTTTATTTTCTTTTAAAAGATAGTATATGTGTAACCTTAAAAAATTCTTTAAAAAATATCAGAGCTCTTGGCAACTTGCATTTTCCTGACTCCCTGCCAATTAGCTAGCCATGTCAATACGGTGCTGATTTAACAAAAGTAAATGGCACAAAAGGATACCAAAGTTCGGACAGATATACATTTCTTGGTCATGCTTCTTAAATCTCTAGGAACTCAAATAATCCTTCAGAGGTACCCAGTGTAGTAATGTGTCATAGAATTAGCACTAAAAATGTCCAAAGATATAAACATCATACTAAAAGAAAGTCTTTATGAAGAATAAACACAAATTATTAAAAAAAGATTCAGAAATCACAGATTTAAGGAAAATATTTTGTTGAATTCAACAATAATATCATGATTTTATCTGACAAATATATTCTTTTTTAAATTTGTATGTACATTTAAAAAGTCTATTAGATAAAAAGGAGGTTAGAGAGCTCAAGGTGTTTGTATGTTTATTCAGGTAGTACTTTGTTTATTGTCACTGCTGTTTTCCTTGCCACCACTGGTGGATCCTAATTCCCTTTTCATAAATTCTGGTGGCACTTAGGAGTTCAAGTCTGTAGGTGCTTCTTGTAGCTCTTCTATTCACTGCAGGAAGGACCCAGGAAATCAAGTGTCTTCTAGCAGCACTTCATATATACTGAAGGCCAGTGCTGTTCTCTCAGTCTGTCACCTCCCTCATAAGGGAGAAATGTCTATCACACTTGGATGCCAGTGCCGTGTAAATGTAGCATTTGTGCTCTCATAGTCTGAATGCTGCTCATGATTTTCTTTTGATGACCAACCAACGTGATCCCTAAACTCATCACATCCCTGGGGAAGATAAATGCGTACATTGTTAATTTTTCAACTTAGACTGCTATTGTATGGTATTCAACTGTGAGTCAAAGCTACGTAGTGGTCTGGGCTACAGGTTTCTAACATTGAAGCTACACTGGAACCTCAGCTCAGTACTGTGAAGTTCATATAGGCACTGTTCAACTTCCCAGCGAGGAGTGCAATTACATGGCAAGTGTCATGTAATTACACTGCATGTGTCTCCACATCTGAGAATGAGGCCAGTATGTTTTGCACTATGGTAATCTTTTATTGTGACTTTTAAGGACACCTGAAGAAAGACACATTCCTCTTGTAAAATACTTCAGGTGGCTTTCAGGACAAAGTTATGTATACACACAAGATTGGGGGGATCACATTCTGCTTCCTAAAGAGATGCCTAAAGAAACCCTTTGCATATTGACCCATACCCATCATGCAAATGAAAGAGGAGCAGCTGTTTCAATTCCACTGCTACTAGTGTTACTGACCTAGTAGAAGCTTGTGGGCTCTGATGAGAGTTCCCAAGCTATAGGCTGAGACCCCTAGTGATACCAGGCAGATAAGAGTAGGGTTGCAAACTTGAGAATATTGTTTAGAAACTTGTTTAGAAAAACACTTCTCTCTGTAAGAGGAATTACGTGTGTTTGGCAACCACCAGGACAAGAACGTTGTTTGCAGGGTGCCAAGAAGACCTGTTTAAGATGGCAGCACCAATACAGGCCATGCTTGACTTCAGAAAATTGTTTTCCTTCTATAGACTTTCATCCTGATGCAAAGCCATTTCTTGCAGGACACAAACAGCCCCCAGCCAATTAAAAGAAAATTCCACATCTTCCTAGTACACATCTGGAAAAAGGTACCAATTACGTCGTGGAGGCAAAGTGGTTCTTTTCCTATATACACATATTTTGAAAAGGGCCACATTCTCCCTCAAATTCTAACCCCTTGGTGTTTTTTCAATTGGTCTCAAAAGCAGGGAAAAAAGTCATGCCACACATAGGTAGCAGGGTACTTGCCCTTTTACGGGATGCTCTAGTACAACATCATCAGCTGCTAAACCGACTGGCTTAACCCCAAGTACTATGTTTGTACTCAGGGTAAAGTTTTGGAGTTGAACATTGTGTATTATTTTACCTAGAAATTCCCTAAATGCAAGTTAAACATGCCCAGTACTAACTTACTCAATAGTCATCCTGGCAACTGATTCAAGAGAGTTGTAGCCTGCTGCTGTGAAATTATCCTTATATCTTTCCATCTTAATAGCTTGTAACCATTCGCCTACGGAGCAGAAAGTGGTAAAATCGGGAGTGTTCTGGTCCAGAAGAGGGCTAATTGGTCTACGGAGAAGGAAAAAGGAAAGTAAGTTGTTTCCAAAGAGAGTAAAACATCAGGGAGTATTTAGCAAGGTGAGAGTCAAATAAGTTTGGGGTATTAAAAATGTCAAGAGTAGAAAGCAATAGGCCTTTATACACAGGTTAGATTACTCTGCAAATAGGTCTTGACTACTCTGTAGCTCACAATATATATTTCCTAAGCTTATTCATGTAAAAGATGAAAGGTCAAAGTGAGCAAAATCAGCCTAATGGACTATTACCAACAGAATATCAACCTTATTACCTAGCATGACAGCAGCTGCAACTGAAGTTGCTGCGTAAAATAAAGATGCTATTCTTCTAAGCATCTTAGAAAATATATTAGTAGCTACTCCCATTATTCAGTTGGATGGGACAAAACAAAGACAAGGAAAGAGCAGAGACATAAAGTAAGTTCCTTAAGGTCACAGAGCAAATCAGTCAGTAGAAGAACCGGGAGCAGAACACAGGCCAGTTGACTCCCTAGTGCAGTGATCTAGCTAGCAGATGAAAAGATTACCACGATTAAATAATTGACCTGAAATTTATGAAGAAGCCATTAAAAGATACACCATGAAACACAATGAGATGCAGTCACTGAAAGGAGTTAAAGACGGAAAATGAAAGATAAAAATCTAGAGTGTAGGAATGTCAAAGTACATTGGCAGGCATGACTAGTATTAATTACTATTTCTACTGTAGCAGTTCCTAGGGCAAGGGATGCATCATATAAAACTACAGTAGATGATGACCCTTGCCCTCCAGACTTCATAATTTTAAGAAACAAGGAAAACAAAAAAAAAATGATATTTACTTTCTTTATTTTGGTTATTTTTTAAGAAAGTCCTTTTTGGCTTTGTTCAGCATGATAAAAAAGAAGGGCAGATGAGGGAAGGGAAGAACAGGGAACAGGAGGAAGGAGGAACTGAGAGACACATGGAGTAAGTGTGAACTGGAACCAGCCACCAAGCAGAACATCCAGAATCCAGCCACGCGCACCATCATATGAAAGCACCCTAAAGCTTTTCTTACCTGCTACAGGTTCCCAGTGGGGTTTTCAAGCTGTTTGGGTTTCTAATCATTTTATCCAGAATACCAACTATCTGCTCAAACTTTGGTCTTTCACCACGTTCCTTCTGCCAACAGTCTAACATCAGCTGGTGCAGTCCTGCTGGGCAATCCATGGGTGCTGGCAAACGATAGCCTTCTTCAATTGCTTTTATAACCTAGTAGTCAACATAGTTAATCATTTTTCATCAAGGGATATTTAGGAAATATATATTTCTACACAGTTCAAAAACTAAAAGAAGAAAAAAAAAATCAGTAAACTAATATTTGCCATCAGTGTTGCAAAAATATGAGTCTGTTGTTTTGACACCAGCCTTCATGTTTTCAAATAATTTCCCTGACTTTATCTTTGGGCTTATTAAGCATATTGTTCTATATGTGCAGAGCATAGCGATATTACCTAGTCAAGTGAGCAGCAGGGAACAACAATTAAATTCACCAAGGGAGCAACAGATAGATTGATAAATGGAGTTATTTCAGAAAGCATTATTA